TGAGGGAACAATCTGGCAGTGTGCCACAGAAAAGCCATTTAATCAGTCCCTCGCTGTCTCCTAGGTCTTAAATGCTGTCAGTGATACATTCCACTTAGAGTTGAGAAACTAGGGATCCCTGGGTGGCGCAGTGGTTTGGCGCCTGCCTTTGGCCCAGGGCGCAATCCTGGAGACCCGGGATCGAATCCCACATCGGGCTCCCGGTGCATGGAGCCTGCTTCTCCCTCTGCCTATGTCTCTGCGCCTCTCTCTCTCTCTCTCTCTCTGTGTGACTATCATAAATAAATAAAAATTAAAAAAAAAAGAAGAAAGTGTTTTTATAAAAAAAAAAAAAAAAGAGTTGAGAAACTACCAAAGTTTCCCTACGCCAAGTACCAAGAGAGGCAGAGGAACAGAGGTAAGAGATCACCCATGCAGGGAGGGCCAATGACTAGATCACCTGCCATGTCAGCTAAGAGGACAAGCCTCAGTGCTGCCCAACCACTCAGGGGAGAAGAAGGGGTAAGGAAAGTGCCAGTGAGCTAGCCTGGGTAGCAGGACCAAAGAAGGTCACAGGCAAAAGCCAGAGGAACAGGAAAGGCACAGCCTAACAGCGTCAAGAAGGTGCAGACCTGTCTGGCAAAGTGTGCGACAGCAGCAGATTCTCCATTCCTAACACAAGAACCACCAACTGAAATAATAACCTGACTCGCTGCCACCTGGGCCAACCGGAGCTTAACCACAGTGCTTCCTGTGCCCTCAATACTTTTCCATGTTGACGGTGCCCAGCACACAGCAGGTGGGAGTTGGCAACAGTGCCCCGTACACAGCAGGCTGTGGTGACGGCTTGTTACAGGGCTGTGGGGGGGCATCACCATTAATCTCCCAGGGGCGCCAGGTACCAGGAGCCTCCCCCTGCTCTCGGCAGTGGCCAAAGTGTTCAGGAGAAAAGGCTCACTTACTCTCAAATAGTTCAGAAGATAAATTTTGTGCGTGCCTACACACACATGCACGTGCATACACAAGGTTATAAGGCAGATAAGGTAAAACAAGGTAAGTCTGGGTAGAGAACATACAGGTGCTCTTTGAATGAATTTTATTCTTGCAACTTTTCTGTAATCTTGAAATTATTTCCAAATTTTCTTTGTGTGTTAAAAAAAAAGAATTCATTAGTTAGCAAGCTTGGAAAGTATATTAACCCTACTTTCCAAATAAAAAGAATGAAACCGTTAAGCCGAAAGCGCAATCAGCCAGTGAATCAAGTTCTACAGTGTTACGGGCGGGTGGGCTGTAAAGGGAAGAGCTCACTCAGAACGTGCCTGGCAAGCCCAAGTGCAGGTTCAACTTCCCAGCTACTTCTACAAGCTTCACCAACGTCTGCTTATAAAATATCCACACTCTCCCTATTCACTAACTCAAGTGCTGCTCCAAAAGCAACATGCTACAGCCACTGGTCACTTCACTGAAGATTTTCAGTTCAGCAGACAGCAGCCCACTCTGGGTCCCTAACGACAAAGGGGAAAGAACCCTTAAATCAGAATCAACTTACCTGGGTTTGAATCCCAACTATGCTGCTCACCAGCTATACGACCTGATGCAAGTCATTTGCCTCTCCCAGCCAGCTTTTCCAACAGCTTCCAGGCCTGCCACCTCATCTGACAGCCTCACTGAACACAAGTGCTGGGAGAGAGCTCACTTGGAGAAAGCAAATGTTCTCTCAGCTATGAACGGTGGAGTCACCCTGGACAGAGCCGTGGCTAACACCGCGGCATGATGTTCTTCCATAATTGAAGCTAGAAAAACAGGTTTAGAATCAGCAATCGCTGCTGCGTTACCTGCACACCTGGAGAAAGGGTCACTGGCCCCCAAAAGCCCCTCAGCAGAGGTCTCCAACCTCCCCTTCTCACCAAAGCCCCAGGAGAGAGACAGAACACACACCACCACTGGTCGTTATGGCCGACTGCAAAAGGGACTTGGGGCTGGTTCTAACCCTCAGATCAGAGTATTTAGATGGAAAATAGCTCCACAGCTGGGGTTAAGGAGGCCAGGGCAGGACATACACAGCTGGGGTAGACAGAGGCTCAACCAAGGGCACATGATGGGAACACAGGCCAGACATCAAGGACCAAAAGCTCATCGCAGCCACTCAGTTTCATGAGCTCTCTGTGGTCATCTCTATTTATAAAATGGGGCTAAGGGCAGTCACCCACCTCAGAGGGACCACCTGCGAGTTCATGAGCGCACACGTTAGTACACATTGGAATAGCATCTGGCATGTAACACATCCTCAATCAACCAAGATCAAACATGCGTTTAAAAGAAATTTTAGGGATCCCTGGGTGGCGCAGCGGTTTGGCGCCTGCCTTTGGCCGAGGGCGCGATCCTGGAGACCCGGGATCGAATCCCACATCGGGCTCCCGGTGCATGGAGCCTGCTTCTCCCTCTGCCTATGTCTCTGCCTCTCTCTCTCTCTGTGTGTGTGACTATCATAAATAATAAATAAAAATTAAAAAAAAATAAAATAAAATAAATTTTGCCAAAAGGTCAAGTTGAGCGCTCTCTTGTTGCCCCCACTCTGAAAGGCCTCCCACCCTGGCCTGCACCAGGGAAGAACCAAAGGTGGCTTGGTCCCGAGTCCTCAAGGACTCCCTTCCTCCTGGGGAACAGGTTCTCCCTGGTGCCCTCCTCACACCCAAGGACAGGCCTAAGCCGGGGACTGTGATAGAAAGAATGCAGGTTAGGAGCAGGGAAGCTCTCCTTCCCAAGCGCCGGCCAACAGACCTCTGCCTGGAAGGACAAGAGCACAGACAAGCACCCAAGGAGAGCATCTGACTCAGAGGGAGACAGGCCCTTGCTGCTCAGCCAAAATCAGGGCACCAGCTGGAGCCCCTGGGAATTTGCAGAGCAACTCAAGATACCCCCAGGAGCCACTGCGAAATGCTGATCTGGAAAGTCATGGGATGCATGCAAAGGGCAACTTTGCTCCCTCAACCAGACACCTCCCTGCCCTAACTCAGACCAAAATGTGGGATCTCCTGTGAAGCCCTCCCCTGCTTCACAGGTACAAATGACTAGCCAGTCACCTCTGCTGCTTGCATCTAAGCCCCCACACTCAATGGCCTGATTTACATCTAGTTTCTACTCCATACCTAAAGGGCACTCCTAGAGAAAGGGATTTATTCAATTCATTTGAGAATCCCTAGTGGTAGGCAGATAGGGAGCCTTTGAAAATTCCGGAACTGCTGCTAGCCAGCTGGCATGATACATGGACAGAGAGCAAAGGAAGGGGTGCTGGGGACATTTGTCACCTCTATCACCCAGGCAGGAGATGCTGGACCTGGAACCAGAGGCACCCCAAGAAAGATAAGCATGATGTGTGGCTTGGTCCCTCAGTCTACCTGAGGGACTGATACGCAAAACTGGGACTCAAGAGCCAAAACCGAATGATGTGTCACCTCTCTACAGATGCCTCTCTAAAAAACTTAATCTAAAGAACTTAATCACAAGAAGCCAGAAATCCATTGGCTCTGGACCTCAAGAGCCCATTCAGTACTCCCTCCAAAGGCAGGCCTTTTTCTGGCTTCCATTCCTACTAAAGCCACCCCACAACCAGTCACCCTCCTGCCCAGAGAACCATCAGAAGCAGCAAGCAACGAGCTCTACTCAGAGAGGCCAGAAAAGCATCAGTAAAGTGACTCCCAGGTTGAGCATGAGCCCAGGCCCTCGGCCACCCAGTAAATGCTAGAGGGGAGACAGCACTCCGTAAGGATGACAAAGGCAGAGAGGTGTGTCCCATCTGTGGTGAGAGCCCTGGCTGAAGCGCCGAGGGGAGAGCCGAGCACCACTGTGCCCCCCAGGCTGCCTTTACACACAGAGATCTGATACAGCTCACAGACAATGGCCCTGGACACGTCCGCCTTTACCGGCCCCTTCCTCTATTAAAAAAAAATCACGAAGAATCATACTTTTCAAATGCATTGGTATAAAGACAAAAAATCTGTACGTGTATATTTCACATTTTCTTTGACCTAAAAGGTCACGGTTTTTTCCTTGCTGATTTTAAAAGACCACTTAAAAGCAGTCATTGTGAGCCCCCAGCACCAGGCCTCCTGAGCCTGACAAATGAATGCACCCTTCACATGGGAATTTGATTTCTGTTGCTGCAGTTCAATGGAGGAGAGGGTACACAACAAACAGGTAGAAATAAAAATTATCCCGGACCTTCCGGCTGCCATGATTCTGATTCTCCACAAGCTTACTTATAAAACCACGAGCTCCGAGGGGGGTTCCAAAAGCATTTAATTATCACATTCAAGGAACATTCCTAAGGGCCTGGCAGTGTCCAGGCGCCAGCGGCGGAGACCGGGCCGCAGCACCAGTCTCTGCCCCAGGAAGCTTTGCCTCACGCGTGCGGTGCTTGGTGGACTCCCAGTGGTACCTCCTTGGGCCGGTCTCTGGGCTGAGTAGTTCTCAACTGCAACACCTCACTGAGTGACAATGAGCGACACAGCCACCACTTTCCAGCCAAGAAGTTTCCAGGGCTAAGACGCTGGCACCAAACGTGGGAAACCAGGTGCCTCCGAGGGATGCTCTCTCGACCCCCGTACTCCAGCCTGACCCCAGCCGCTGGGCAAGGTGGGCGCGCCCCAGGGGCGCAGCTCCTTGGCCAAAGAACTCCCAGGCCCCAGAAGTTAGGTCGGGCCCCGCACATCGCTCGATTCTCAAAGCGCGCAGCGCTCCACGGACACGGATCCAAAGGTAACATCCCTCGAGAACAAAGTTCCATGATGTACGAGTCGCTCTGAGCCCGGGTAAACTCTCCGCACGGGCCCGGGCGGGGGGCGCGGCGGCCCCGGGGCAGGCCTAGCCGGCGCCCTCCGGGGGCGCGGCCCCGCCCGGGCAGGGAGGTCTCCGCGACCCCGGCCGCGCACACCTCGGGCCGCGCACACCGCCAGCCCCGCCCCGCCCCGCCCCGCCCCCACACGCCGCCCCCACCGCGCCGCGCCCACCGCGCCGCGCACCTGGCCGCAGCGGCTCGGTGACGGTGAGCACCAGCAGGAAGAGCAGCAAGAAGGCACCGCTGTCTGCCTTGGGCACCATTTATCCTCCGTTCATCGTCCCCGGGGCGGCCGCGTGACCCCGCGGGGAGGCCGGACCGGGCCGGGCAGAGGGTCAGGGGAGGGCCGGGCTGAGGGTCAGGGGACCGGGCCGGCTGAGGGCTGGGGGCCGGGCGCGGAAGGGCGGCAGGAGAAGGCTCCGGCGACGCTGCGGCTACAGCGCGCCGCGGAATCGCGCGCACTCCCGGCCTGTCTTGGGCTCCGACTCCGGCTCTGCGCAAGATGGCGGCCGTCCTGCTCCGCTCCGCGCCGCCCCCCGCCCGCGCCGCTGGCGCCGGCCAATGAGCGCCGAGGCGAGGGGCGGGGCCTGCCGCTCCCCCCCCAGCTCACCGCCCCCCCGCCCGCGCCGCTGGCGCCGGCCAATGAGCGCCGAGGCGAGGGGCGGGGCCTGCCGCTCCCCCAGCTCGGATCCCCGGCCGGACGGGGGGCGGAGCCTGAGCGGCGGTGCCCGAAAGGGGCAAGGCCTGCGGCTGGGACGGCGCGGGGCGGGGACTGGGAGGCGGGCCCGGCTGGCGGGCGGGACCTCAAGGAGTCAAGTGTGCCATTGGTTAAGCAGAGAGGTGGGGCTCGGGGGTGGGGCCCGGGCAGTAGGGCCTCCGAAGGGCCGGGATCCGAGGGCTGGACGCGCAGGGCAGGGGCGGTGGGGGAAGGGCAGCGGTCCAAGAGGAGGGACACAGACAGGGGCGGGGCGCAGCGGGGCCGAGGCGGCGGGGAGCGGGGGGGTCTAGGAGCAGCCCTGGAGGGCGGGGCGTGGAGAAGGGGAGGGACACGGTGGACCTGGGCGAAGGTGGACACGGGGGTCTGCACACCTTGCAGACCTGCAGGTCCAACAGTGCTCCCTAAAGTGGGCCTCTAAAGGCAGAACCGCAGCGGATAAGGGATGAGGAAAACTGCTTGAGGTGGCGGCGAGATGGGGGTATAGAGGATCCACCCTGTAAAAAAACAGGCAGGTGTGGCTTCCCCAGCACACACTACTGAAAACGTTTCAGATGAGGAAATAGCCTAAAGGAGTGTCCTACAAGGAGAGCTGACAGGCAAGCCCAGATCCCAGCCTGAAGCAGAACTGGCCTCAGGAGGAAGAGCCCTGCCTACACAACGTGGGAGGAGGGGGAGGAATGCTGGGCGCAGCTGCTGCCACAGCAGGCCACCTGTGCAGGGAGGAAAGGCTCCCAGTGCTGGCCTCGCACCTATGCGGAGCAAAGTGACTGTGGCAGAGGACACAGCACATGGAGTGTCCTCAGCAGGAGGGGAGCAAACTGGTCAACGGAAGGACCCCCAACCACACACACAAGGCCTGGCACAAGGTGAAGATAGGAGCACAGGAAAAGGGGGCCTATCTTAGCCCCATCCACTTCCAGCCCTGTCCAACAGTGCCCTGGCTGTTTGCATTGTCCTCATGGAACATTCCCAGGAGCAGCTGCTGCACTCAGAGGGATCTACACCCAACCTTCAATGTGCCCAGGGAGCCAAGCCAGAATTACAGACCCCCCAGGGAGGGAACTCACAGCTCAGAGCAGATAACCCTGCCAGTGGTCCCCCTGCAGAGCCACTGTTGGAGAAGCTGGCCAGCAAAGGTTCAGATGGGGAGAGTAGGACAGGGAGGTGAAAAGTCCAGCCACGCCATGCAGGGAGAAGGCAAAATCCTGGCTTCCAAAATGTAGTCACGGCTGGCCCAAGAGTCTTTGCCCCTCCTGATCCACCTCCACCTTTGGCCCCCCTGCACGGCCTGCAGGCTGCCTGTGTGGACACCACCAAGGACCTCTAGAACTGAAAGGAGGGAGGAAAGGTCAGGGATATTTTTTTCCCCAGCTCCCTCCTTGTGGGATCACTGCTTCTACACTCTTCCCAGGGTCCAGTGACCGACCTGCCCTTCTTCCAGGGGTCTGTTACTACCCTTGGAGTACCATACACTCAGCTCCCACCTTTGTAAGAAAGATGACTGTATTTTTTTTAAGATTTTATTTATTCATAGAGACAGAGAGAGAGGCAAAGACACAGGCAGAGGGAGAAGCACACATCATACAGAGAGCCTGATGTGGGACTCGATCCAGGGTCTCCAGGAGCACGCCCTGGGCTGCAGGCGGCGCTAAACCGCTGCGCCACCAGAGCTGCCCGAAAGATGACTGTATTAAACTTTCCTCAGACTGCCCTAACTTGAGTATGGCCTGGCTCCCGGTGTGCGAGGACCAGAAGACCGATGTGTTCCACTCAGCCCCCTCCTACCTCGTCTCAGCCAAATGCAAGGCCACTCTCCGCTGGCCTTTGGTCCATGCCAGCGCCCTGGCTGGCCTTCCAGGATTCCAAGTCCAAGTGGCTCAGGCTAGAGCCTCATTCCCGCAGGGCACTCCTCCTTTATGACTTCACCCACTGAAGTCACCTGGGAGACAGTGCTTAACGTTCCACTCCAGAGTCTTGGCCTCTAGGAGGCAGGGACAGCAGGCCCGGCCGGCCCAGAGGACTTTCTGTCCACAGTGTAAATGAGGACGCCACCGGCCCATGTCCCACAAGGATGTAGAGGGCAGCCTCAGAGGCACTGGGCGTTCCCGGCACCATGGATGACGCTGCCGTCCTCAAGCAACAAGGCTACATCATGGGGATAAATTTGGGAGAGGGCTCGTATGCAAAAGTCAAATCCGCTTACTCTGAGCGCCTGAAGTTCAACGTGGCGGTCAAGATCATCGACCGCAAGAAAGCCCCCAAGGACTTCTTGGAGAAATTCCTTCCCCGGGAAATTGAGATTCTGGCCATGCTAAACCACCGCTCCATTGTCAAGACCTATGAAATCTTCGAGACATCAGATGGCAAGGTCTACATCGTCATGGAGCTCGGGGTCCAGGGCGACCTGCTCGAGTTCATCAAAACCCGGGGAGCCCTGCACGAGGATGATGCTCGAAAGAAGTTCCATCAGCTGTCCTCGGCCATCAAGTACTGCCACGACCTGGACATCGTCCACCGAGATCTCAAGTGCGAGAACCTCCTCCTCGACAAGGACTTCAACATCAAGCTGTCCGACTTCAGCTTCTCCAGGCGCTGCCTGCGGGATGACAGCGGCCGCATCATCCTCAGCAAGACCTTCTGCGGGTCGGCGGCGTATGCGGCCCCCGAGGTGCTGCAGGGCATCCCCTACCAGCCCAAGGTGTATGACATCTGGAGCCTGGGCGTGATCCTCTACATCATGGTCTGTGGCTCCATGCCCTACGACGACTCCAACATCAAGAAGATGCTGCGCATCCAGAAGGAGCACCGCGTCAACTTCCCCCTCTCCAAGCACCTGACGGGCGAGTGCAAGGACCTCATCTACCGCATGCTACAGCCCGACGTCAACCGGCGGCTGCACATCGACGAGATCCTCAGCCACTGCTGGGTGCAGCCCAAGACACGGGGCCTGTCCTCTGCAGCCATCAACAAGGAGGGGGAGTGCTCCCGGGGTGCTGAGCCCTCGTGGACCCCTGAGACCCCCGACAGAAAGTCTGCCACTAAGGTGGAGCCCCGAGAGGAGGCACGGCCCGAGACAGAGCCCGAGACAAAACCCGAGGAGGAGGAGACGTTGCCAGTGCAGGTGTTGAGGCAGTCGGACACCACGGGCCTTAATGGAGAGCTGCTAAGCAAGGAGACAGAGGAAGAGGCCCTCCCACAACCTTCGGAGACACACACCTCGTGAGCCTCTCTTGGCCCAGGGGGCCGGCAGAGAACGAAGCAGAGCTCATGGCTTTGAGCCCGAGCTCCAAAGAAGCCAAGGGACAAGCCAAAGAAGGAAGACTGTCCTGGATGAGCCACTATTTTCGTCAGTTTCTCCTCCCTCCCCTTGAACTTGGTAACCCACATGGCTAAAGAAGCAATAAATCACTGTATTAGTGCAGACCCCAAGGTGAATGTCTTTGCCCCAGCTGACCGCGGTCATCCAGGGAGAGGATCCTGGGCTCTCCCCGCCGCCACCCCACTCTCGGATCGATCGCACCGCATTTCACCTCCAGTTTGGGAAAATACATCCCAGTGTGCCCAGCCCTGACTGTGACCTCAGGCCCTGGACCAGAGCAGAGAGCTGAGCAAGGAAGATGCTGTTTCAAGAGGGAGGCCATGAGTGCGGTGCTGGGGGCAGGGAGGGGGCAGCGAGGACAGAACCAAGAAGGGCAAGGGGGCTGCCTGCAGCAGAGAGGCGCTGTAGGCAGGGGCTCGTCTGCAGTTGGGGCTGAGGATCTGGGCCCTCAACACCCCAGCACCACCGCCTTCACAAGGCTGTGGGTGGGGAGGGGGCCTGCAGGGGGCAGATGGACATGCCTCTCAGCCCCTCTGGAGCTCCCCACCCCAGTAGGCAACTCATTTCTTTTGTTCTGTCCACCAGGGTTCCCCCCTCCTCCCGTGGCCAGCCAGCACCCAGGATGCCCTGAGTCATCCTGCCTGTGGTCATTTCCCCTGCCCCACTGGATGGCCCGGCTCCACCCGGCCTGTACGTCCCACAGTCACACTCTGTGTCCCCGACCACATTCCATTCCCTTCTAGTCCCAGTCTGTCCCCAGGGCTGATGCTCCACGCCAGAGTGAATAAGCAGACCGGTGTGCTCACAATGCTTGCCGTGCCCTGCAGCCTTTAGAGGGAGCAGGCCTGCACTCAGCTTCGCTGGCTGCCATGCCCTGCCTGGCCCACCCCGTGCTATTCTCAGGCTGCTCCCTCTAACCTCAGCCACCGCAGCCGCTTTCTCTTCCTGCCCTGCACTCACCCTGCGGGTTTGACACATCAAGAGGACAAGCGCCTTCAGACTTATCCCCCTTCTGCCCACGTCAGTATCTTGGAAAAACCCCAACCCCAGGCCCTGGGAGAGGTGAAGTCCAGTGAGGGCCCCGGCCCCACTCTCTTCGCACCCCTCCGCAAAGCACTCCACCTCTCTGCCTTGCTCCTGCCCTCCCCACAGCCACCTTCACACATTCTACATCTTCCTATCTCCATGTTCCTGTGTGTCTTCTCGAACACACGACTTGGCTACTGCCATGGCCTCTACCTGCCCTCTTTGTTCCCCCAGTGGCCAGAGCCTCCCTTCGGCATGCAGTCGAGATCCCACTGCCCTGGGGAAGGATCCCGGTGCAGGCCTTGGCCTCCCAGCCCCCTCCCTCAGCCCCAGCCCCACCCGTTTACGTGCCAGAATCACACTTGTACATGTGTCCCTTCAGACCTTACCCATGTCTCCAGGATCAGCCGAGGGGCCATGGCCTCCGCAAAGCCTTCAGAACTTGGCAGTCCGCCACTATAAGCTCTGCTGCTGGGGCAGGCCTGTGAGTGCTGAGGTCCAGGCACAGGACAGGCCCTGGGTGATGTCGGAGGAGCCACCCAATTTTTCCCAGAGGTCCCAGGAACCCAGCGTTGTGCAGATCATCTGGTGACAGAGTAAAATTCCAGAGTACATGGGGCTGGTTGGAGTGGGGACATCCTGAGAAGCTCACAAACCTCCTCACTATGGTCATCTGTGGCTTGTTGTGGTCGTCGGGCAACATGCAGCAAGAGGGCCTGGGAGCAACCCACTATGGCCTAGTCAGAAGGCAAACCTGGGCAGGAGGGGCCCCAGGAAGGAGCATCTGCTGTGTGCTTTACAGGTGGGGAGATAGCTCAGAGAGGGTGGGCAACTGCCTGAGATCACACAGCACAGAGTGGCGGCCTAGACGACAGAAGCCCCCGCCTCCCCGGGTACCCTCACGTTCCAGGCCATTCCAGCTGCTGGGGTCAGCCCTGGCTCAGACCCCTTCAGTGACCCTCCTGAAGGCTTTAGATCAAGACCCTCACCATGGCCTGCACAGTCTGTAGTGCTGTCCCCTCCCACCCTGCACACTCCCGCCACTCTGTGTCCTTTCAAGCCATCACGTGCTCTAGCAGGTTCTGGTCCTCCATGTGGCTAACTCTTCACACCTCAGCCCTCCCAGCCTCCCCAAATCCAATCCCAGTTCTTCCCTCACAGCCCTGTGTTCCCATATCACAGCACAGCCACCACTGGGCATTTGCACTGCTGGTGTGACACTGAAGCTCCCTGTCTTCTGGGCTTCAGGAAGGCAAAGGTCCTGTCTAGTTCATCAGTGAACCCCAGCATCTGGAACCAACCTTCAAATACCTATTGGGTGAGTGGAAAAATGGAGGAAACCGTAACTCAGAGGGAAGTGGCCTTGCCAGAGTCTGCAGGTTTCCCACACACAGGGCTGCAGCCTGGGAGGGCTCCTGGAGGCCCCTGGGCCAGTCAAATACTTCTCATCCCGAACACACCAGGAGGGCCTGCCCCCGCGTGCGTGCGTGTGCTGGATGAAGCCACCTGCTCCCCTCGCCCCCAGCTCAGCTCGTGCCTCCTCCACCGTGTCCCCCGAGAACCAAAGAGGCCACACTGTCCTGGGCAAGGTCAGAGTATAAGGAAACAGCATCCACAAAAAAACAGAAAAGTGGGTAGGTTGGCAGAGTCAGCCAAAAAGACAGACATGCAGGGGGTGCCCCAGAGAGAACGTGTGGGAGTGCAGGAGAAAGGCAGGGGAGACTGCTCTGGGTGCTGGCCCGCAAATCCTCATGGCCAGCCCCTTTTGGGATGCACAGGAGCGAAGTTCTGGTCATTTCTGCCAAAGACGTCCCAGGGGAGAGCAAGCATCAAGCCAGAGCTACTGCAACTGAAGCTCCAAAGAGCCAGGAGCAGGCCTCAGGGAGGCGGTGGCTGCTGGAGGGCATCTGGACTCCGGCCACACAGCCCCAGGGATCTTCCAGACAAGCCTCCAGCTGCAGGGAACTCCCCATGTGCCCCCAGGTATATCCACAGAGCCATGCTGGGGCCAAAACGGCAGGCACATCTGCCCAGCACGTCCTTCCCCTCATCCACGTGTACATGGTCTCCTCCATCACCTCCCCTACCGACCACCCACATAGAGGCAGGCCTCCTGAGGTGCCCCACCCACCCACCCCGCTGAACACTGAGCACATGGCACACCCACATGTGGGCACGGGATGCCTGCCATGGAGACCGAATGAGCAGCAGGGCTTCCAAAGTACTTAAGGAGACACATAAAGGATGCCACATTTCCCAAAGGAAAAAACAAAAGGGTTTTCACATTGCTTTCAGGTGCAAGACAGCTTGAGAGACGCACATGCCAGGAGTCCATCAGGCCTGCCCAGCTCCTCACAAGGATCCCCTCCTCATCCCAGTGCCTGCTCTTACCAGAAGCCCTGGCACCAAGGCTCCACCCAAGGTCCTGCCCCCCCTCATGGGCCACCGCTCAGCCCCTCTGTCTCCTATGCCCAATCCCCACCCCCCCGCCCCCGCCCCCGTAGGCCTGCCTTGGTCCAGCCTCCTCTTGTCCAAAGGCATTGGCCTCCACTCACCCAGAAACCCATCCTCTGTGTACCCTGCCAGGGACCATCTTAAAACGTGACTTGAGTCATGGCCCTTCTGGCCCCAGACCCTTCCCTTCTCCTCCACCCTCCCTCCAGATGTAAGACAGCCATTCTCAGAACAAGCCATCACCTCTTCCAGGCTCTTCCCTGCCTGGATGCCTCACCACCTCCTCTACCTGACTGAGGCCTGGCCCATCCTCCAGGCAGGCCCCAGCCCTGGGAACACACATCTGCCAGTGGGGGGCACAGGGCCCTGCCTGTCCTCCCACCCCACACACGCCCCGCTTACCACAGTGGCACTCCTCTGCCCAGCCTTGTACCCCAGAACAGAAACTGCTCTCATTCACAAGGCTGGGTGGAGCCACCGGCCTGGCCAGACCAGGGCCATTCCTCCCAGGCACCACCAGTTCCAAGGATACAAGTCCTAGAGAGGGTTTTCTTCACACCCCAAAGAAGCTGTAGGAAATAGGCCCTAGTGGGACATGGACTGATGCAGAGTCAGCCCGCACAGCCAGAAGGAAATGGGCATGGGGCTGGCACTCTGGCCTGACCTGGGGGGCCCTCCCTTGGGCCTGACTCAAGACCAGGAAGCCACAGCGAGGAGGAGGAGGAGGAGGAGGAGGAGGAGGAGGAGGAGGAGGAGGAGGAGGAGGGAGGGAGGGTTACCGCAGTCCTGGGTGCCAGCTTCCTTCCAGTGGGTGGGGAGTGGGCACTCCCACCAGGCCAGCCTGGCTTCCAAGGTTCCAGGGGCCCATTTCCCCCAGCTCAGTCCCTACTCCCGGCAGGCTGGCTTTATGACTTCACATGCTGAAGTCACGCGGAGACAATGCTGAGCTTTCCACCCCTCCGAGTCCAGGCCCAGCCCAGCCAGACGGCTCCCCACAGGGTAAATGAGGACAATGCCCGCTGGCTCACGTGGGGAGGGGATGTAGAGCGCAGCGGCGCCAGCCGCTCCTGGCACCATGGACGATGCCGCGGTCCTAAGGAAGAAGGGTTACATCGTGGGCATCAATCTTGGCAAGGGCTCGTATGCAAAAGTCAAATCTGCCTACTCTGAGCGCCTCAAGTTCAACGTGGCGGTCAAGATCATTGACCGAAAGAAGACGCCCACCGACTTCGTGGAGAGATTCCTTCCTCGGGAGATGGACATCCTGGCAACTGTCAACCACCGCTCCATCATCAAGACCTATGAGATCTTTGAGACCTCTGATGGGCGCATCTACATCGTCATGGAGCTCGGGGTCCAGGGCGACCTGCTCGAGTTCATCAAGTGTCGGGGGGCGCTGCATGAGGATGTGGCGCGTAAGATGTTCCGCCAGCTGTCCTCGGCCGTCAAGTACTGCCACGACCTGGACGTCGTCCACCGAGATCTCAAGTGCGAGAACCTCCTCCTCGACAAGGACTTCAACATCAAGCTGTCCGACTTCGGCTTCTCCAAGCGCTGCCTGCGGGATGACAGCGGCCGCATCATCCTCAGCAAGACCTTCTGCGGGTCGGCGGCGTATGCGGCCCCCGAGGTGCTGCAGGGCATCCCCTACCAGCCTAAGGTGTATGACATCTGGAGCCTGGGCGTGATCCTCTACATCATGGTCTGTGGCTCCATGCCCTACGACGACTCCAACATCAAGAAGATGCTGCGCATCCAGAAGGAGCACTGCGTGGACTTCCCCCTCTCCAAGAACCTGACGGGCGAATGCAAGGACCTCATCTACCGCATGCTACAGCCCGACGTCAACCGGCGGCTGCACATCGACGAGATCCTCAGTCACTCATGGCTACAGCCCCCCAAGCCCAAAGCCATGTCTGCCTCCTTCAAGAGGGAGGGTGAGGGCAAGTATCGGACGGAGTGCAAACTGGACACCCGGCCAGGCTCGCGACCCGAACACCGGCCCGACCACAAGCTGGGAGCCAAAACCCAGCACCGGCTGTTGGTGGTGCCCGAGAACGAGGACAGGATGGAGGACAGGCTGGCCGAGACCTCCAAGGCCAAAGATCATCACGTCACCGGAGCCGAGGTGGGGAAAGCAAGCACCTAGCGGTGCTGCGGGCCCGGGGGGGCATGGTGCATGGTGTGCGCCCACATAAACTAAATAGGCAGGTAGGAGCTGAAGAAGGCACAGGTGCAAGGAACAAGTAAAATCCGTCAATTAAACCACTCTTTTGATTACGTTCTATTAGCTTTCTTCCACTTAGTAGCAAAGACGTTAATTACTGACCACCAAATAAACCACAAAGTGTATACAAGCATCAAGAGTGCCCCGTGAGGAGTCTTTTTCTCTAGGACTCAGCCAACCCCCCTCCCTGCGGCATGGGGTTCTCCAGCGTAGGGGTGCAGGACCCGGTGCTTGGGGGCAGGCACACTCACGGTGAGGCCCTGTGGGCCAGAAGACCTCAGCCGCAGCCCACAGCCAGGCCCCCACCGTCTCCCTCGGACCCGCCTGGGGCCCAGCGCCCCAAGGCTGGCCAGCTGCACGGGTCTCTATGTTTCGGGCAGAGCACAGCTCACCCTGCCCCCGACCCCATCCGGCTCCCTCAGGCCCCCCCTTTCCACGTACTCTCCTCCCTCCATTCCTGCGGTTCAGATCAGTGGCCTGAGCCCCTTGAGTGCCCTTTCGTTTGCCAGAACGGCCCCAACCCAGACCGCTCACCCATCCCTTCCTGCCCACCCTACACCCCAGCCCGTACTCAGGGGGGCCAGTACTTGGCCTTAAGTGGCCTTGTCGGGACAGTCTCTCCCCCGCATCTCACACTCACTCACACCGCTGCCTCCATGCTGCTCTGTCCCACGCCCTCCTCCTCCATGGGGCAAAGCAGCAAAGGCCACACTCTCCTGACCCCTGAGCAGTCCTGGACCTGGTCCCACCTGCCAAGCCTAGGCCCAGCCCCCATGAGTTGGGGGCCTGGCTGGGGCTTGGCCCCCTGAGAACTGGCAGGAACTCAGTCGAGCACAGGCTAGTGGGTGCCCAGGTAGGCGACTGGCCCCTCACCAGCCTCTAGAACACCACCCTCACGGAGACGGTGAGGAACCATGCAAGACAACCCAAGACAACAGCCAAGGCAGGGCTGGGTGCGCTCAAAGACAGACTCCGGTCTCGGCAGATTCCAGGCTGTCTCTGTGGGCAGTGCAAACCCCTAGGAGGGCACCACCTGACCCCACCTAAGGCCTGAAGAGATCCATCTGGGAGCCAGCGAGGGCACCCCACCTTCTTGTGAAGTAGCTGGCCCAGGCCTCCTGGAGTCGGGCACCAAAGCCCTCGGGGTCATGGGCAAGTGTGGCCTGTGGTGCACATGGCACTCATGGGTCTTGCTCTTTTGACACTGTGCCCAGGTTAGTGTTACCCACAGCTCCCGCTGGTGACTCAGCAGTGCGTGGAAGGTAGTGCCTGGAGTACTGGGAGAGAGAGTGAAGGGCAGGAAGACAGAGCAGCCCTGTCCCACCTGAGCTGGAGGCCAGGTGCTTGGAGAAGATGACACTGAGGCCACTTTGAAGGTGCCACACGAGGTGTGGTGTGACATGTAGGACCCACATGACCCCATCACCAGCACACCACAGGGGCCAGGCCCGGGTGGGGAAGCTGTGGACCTGGGTGCAGAGCCCCGGGGACCTGAGGGGCATAACTTCTGAGGGTTTTCTTTCCTCAGGGGGCTGGGCCCAGTGTGCCGTGAGCTGAGCACAGAAGGTAGGTTCCAAGTCCCAGGGGGCCACATTATTCCATGTTCCCAGAGGGGGAGCAACGCAGAGAGTGGCACGAGGGGTCAGACACCCTGGATTTCCAAGTCCACCTCCCCCAGAAGCTTCTGCCCAGGGAGGCCTGTAGTCCTGAGACTGGGACGTGGGCACGAAGATAGCCTACGGGCTGTGCAGAGCGGGCCGGAGAGATGGTCCTGCCCGACTGTGCCAGGTGCTCTTTAATGACAGCTAAATAGAAACAGGCAAGGAAGGCTTTGATAGAAAACAGTTTCAACAAGACCCAGGGACATACCCCAGGGGCTGCGGGGACAAGTCTTGTGCCAGCCTGGCCAAGGCACGGCATCTCTTCTGTGGCTCCTGGGACAGCCACCATTTCTGGCCCGGGCCTGGGTCCCCAGAAGGCCGGAGTCCTCTGCTGAGTGGGCTGCGGCCCTGCAGGCTCCACAGTTTCCACAGGCCCGACCCGGGCCTGGCCCTAGAAGAAGTCTGAGGCTTTGCGCCGGGCAGGGAGCTGCAGCAGGTTGTCCGTGATGGAGGCGGGGTCCTGGCTGAGGGGGGTGCGCGCCGCAGAGCCAGGAGCTGGTGTGCTCGTGGGGGTCTGAGGCCCACCGGCTGGGGTCTTGAGGTGGGTCGAACGTGCTGGAGATGGGGTGTAGCTGGCTCGCAGGGCCCGGTCTGTGTACTTGCTGGCCGTCCTGCTCACGAGGCGCTGAAGGGCTGGGGACATGGCTGGGCTCAGGCCTTTGGGGGTGAGGCTGGGGTAGAAGGGGTGGGTGAAAGAGGCACCATTAGGCCTGATCGGGTACTGCCAGCAGCAGGGCTTTCCATGGCCCCACAGGAAGATACATGGGTGATGTGTGGTCACTACTGGCTGACCATACAGCACTGTAGCCAAACTTAAGGTCAAGTAGTGGTGCTGCCTTTAGTTGTGGGGCTGGGATGGACCCTGTCTCTCCAAGGAGGACAATACACCTGCTTCCACGGGGCTGACAGGTGTGTGTAAGTGGGACAAGGGGCCCTAGGGATGTGCCGAGAGGAGGCTGAAGGAAAGGACGGAGGGGCCTGCATCCTGGTTCATAAAGGCTGCACCCTGGACCCGAGGAGCCGCCACAGGACCCGGCACAGGACCCCTGGGCCTGCCCTGCACAGTGTGCATCCACACTGCATTGGGTGGGGTCAGGCACTTCATACCTGGCCAAGTTCTCCGTCACTCTTCTCAAGGCCTCCTGCTTCTTGGCCCGGTTCTTGGCGGCAGCCTCGTTGGCCATCTTCAGCCCCAGCCGTTCCCTGCGGCCGGGCTCTAAGATCTACAAGGCAAGTGGGTGCGTGGGTGGCCTGCCGCCAGGTCAGGCAATCCCTCGCTGCTGGGGCACCTGCCTCTCTCCCGTGGCCCCTGTGATCCTCACAACACATTATTGCCTCCCTAAAAGCCCCCGGAAGGCCCCTGACCAGCTTGGTGAGCTGCCCACCTGCAAAGGCCCAGGCCTCCCACCTGTCCTCACAGTTCCCCGCAAGCCAGCACTGCCAACTTACGAACCCGACAGTCTTTTAGGAAAAAGGTGGTCTGGTTTGAATCTGCTTTCCTCTGATTACCAGAATAAACTGCCTGTTGACTAACTTCCATTGACCTTCTCTATTTCTTTCCAGAACTTCCCGAAATAGATCCTTGTCGTATTTTTCTATTATAGCATTAGTGTCTTTTTAATTTTTTATTTATTTATGATAGTCACACAGAGCGAGAGAGAGAGAGAGAGAGAGAGAGAGAGAGAGAGAGAGAGGCAGAGACACAGGCAGAGGGAGAAGCAGGCTCCATGCACCGGGAGCCCGACGTGGGACTCGATCCTGGGTCTCCAGGATCGCGCCCTGGGCCAAAGGCAGGCGCCAAACTGCTGCGCCACCCAGGGATCCCTATTTTTCTATTAAAGTGCTTGCTTAGGGGCAGCCCTGGTGGCTTAGTGGTTTAGCGCTGCCTTCAGCCCGGGGTGTGATCCTGGAGACACCAGATTGAGTCCCACGTCGGTCTCCCTGCATGGACCCCGCTTCTCCCTCTGCCTGTGTCTCTGCCTCTCTCTCTCGAATAAATAAATAAAATCTTAAAAAAAAAAATAAAGTGCTTGCTTGCTTACTTAAGCTTTTACTCTAAGGTTTTTTGTGTTTTTTTTTTTTAGGTTTTACTCTAAGTTAACGTTACATTAAGCTCTGCCAAACAAACTCCTTCTCAGTTATTTGCTTTCAGTGTCATTCATGACTTTTTTGTTGTTGTTGTTGTTGTTGTTGTACTTAAGCCTACGCCTCACATGGTATCACCTACACCTTGCTTCCGTGTCTCTTCTGTGATGTCTCTCTCTGCTTTACTCCTTCCTACCTTTATCTCAGATTAAACATTGACTACTGGGCAGCCCGGGTGGTTCAGCGGTTTAGCACTACCTTCAGCCCAAGGCATGATCCTGGAGTCCCGGGATTGAGTCCCGCATTAGGCTCCCTGCATGGAGCCTGCTTCTCCCTCTGCCTGTGTCTCTGCCTCTCTCTCTCTCTCTCTCTCATGAATAAACAAAATCTTAAAAAAACAAACAAAAAAAACTAGCACTTAGAGATGGGAGGTTTAAAAAAGAAAAAAAAAAAAAAAACCTTGACTACTATTGTCTTATTGTTTTACATTTACGTTTTCTGTACTTAACCCTTCCACCTCGGGAACTCATTCTGCCGTGCGTACCAAGCACTTTATGTCCAAATGCTCTTGCTCAGCACAGCTTGAACGGTTGTCTCTCATGTACCCTGAATTCGGATTTGGACTGAGGTTTGTTCACGATCTCTTCCCTGCTGCCTGGTAGGCTCCAGGACCAGGGGAAGACCTGTGATATCCCCACGCCCTCAGTGTGCCCTGACACCTGCTGGCACGGAATCCTCTTCAGTTTTTCTTGGTTATCCTCGGGTCCCAGACAAATTTAAGAACCAAGGTGCCAAAATCCTCTGCATACATTCTGTCTGGATGTGTGTTCCTTCTCTGAACGAGAGCAGTGCTATTCCGGGGAGGCAGCATAGTGTGGCCCACACTCTCTGATTTTCCTTACATAAGCCTGTAGCACAAGCCTGTGGTTTCTTTATGAAAGCTAAGTTACTGCTAGTTAGTCCGAACTTCTTCTGCTACAGTGAATGAGATATTTCTTTTCTTTTTTTTTTTTTTTGAAGATTATTTCTTCATGAGAGACACAAAAAGACAGAGGCAGAGACACAGGCAAAGAAGCAGGCCCTATGCAGGAAGCCCGATCCTGGGACTCCGGGATCATGCCCTGAGGCAAAGGCAGACGCTCAACCGCTGAGTCACTCAGGCGTCCCAAGATCTCTTTTTCTGTTGCATTTCAAACTACACGCTGCAAGTGTTTAGAGGAACCAGTTCAAGACAACCTCTAGCCTAGCTCCCCATGCGGCAGACCTACATTAATGGCAGGTTCCATGCCTAACCCTTTGGGATTTCAAAGCAGATGATGTAACCCCACACCCTTTGTTCTCTGCAACAACACTGACCTCTGCCTCCTGCAATTTCCTAGCAATCCAGGTAGGGAGCGTTGGCCCAGCACCCTGAGAACAGGACTGCATGCTCCCAGCTTCCAGCGACTTCTCTTCCTTCCTGTTCCAAACTACGCCAGTCACTCAGTTTCCCCAACAAACTGTGCATACCGGAGCACCTTGCCTTCCCAAAGCCTCTCTGGGGCCGGCCTAGGCCACTCGATCTCCACAAACCACCTGGCACCCAGCTTCCCCACCCTACCTGGTCCAGGCCTCATGAACCACCCCCTCTGACAACTTCTACAAAACTGGTGCCTCCTGGTTCACGCTCTCTAACCAGAGGCCTCTCTCTGCAAGCACGCAATCCTTCTGAGGACACAAACCACATCCCATGGAACACTGGGGTTCTAGGGCCCTTCCCACCCCACAGGCCCACAAGCTCAGCGGGCCATAGCTTTGGTGCCCTAGCCCCACACCGGAGTCCCCCCCTTCACTCACACCTGTGCGCAGTGCTCTGGTCTTATTCAGAAGTGCAGTGCTTGCACAGGTGTGTAGCCTGGAACATGGCTTGGCCCTTCAGTTGGTTCTGCTTTGACCAGTGGCAGCTAGCCCATCCTCTGTGCATGGAACTACAAATGCTCAGACGGCCATATGCCTGCTCAGGGTCCCCTCCGAACTCCCCTCATCATGACTCACCTTGAAGGCTGGTCCTGGCGTCCTGTCCACGTAGGGGGTTTCAGATCCTTCAACTCTCAAAGGAGTGTTTTCAACTTCTCCCCAGGTCATCAGCGGTGACTCATTCACACCTGCAGATGGACAGCTCATAGTCACTTCAGGCCAGGGGATGCAGATGGGGGTGGGGTGGGTGGGCAATACCAGGCCTGCCCTGACAGCCAGCTCCCACCATGCGTGTCCCAGCTAACAAACATGAAGGCTGGCAGTAGCCCACTCTCCTTCCCCAGGACTCTGGAACTCTGGCAGCTCGGCCCTCTGAGAGGACAACACAAGGCCACTTAAGGCCCAAGGCAGGCCCAGGCTCTGACAGCTGAAGGGCTTAGCCTGGAAAGGCGGCTCCCCAGAGAAGCTGGGCTGGATCAACTAGGCTCCTAGCCTAGCACATGGCTGTGGGGGCCTCCTGGAGGTTGCTATGGCGCCCCACCCAAAAGGAGACACTTGGGGCCTTTCAGAGCCCAAAACTTCCCCAGAACCCTGGGCAAACCTGTAGCACCTCCAGATATCCTGGCCTAGGTCACATGAACCAGCAGCCCAGGATACAGAGGCCAGTGCTTGGGAGGGCAGGACACCACGTGCATGGCTACACCATAAGACTGTCCTCGAGACTCATAAACCTCCTTTGTGAAGCCATGCAGGGCTGGGGCCTGAAGCCTCCTCCCTGTGTCCCTCCACCTCGCTTCCCTGTGCCTGGCCTCTCGCTGTGACCTTCAGCATGCTCACCACAGCCCATCTGTCCAGCAGAGCCTCGACACCCCTGGTTCCCAACTAAACCAGCCTGTTCTGCTTAGGGCAAGCATGAAGACTGCCCAGCTTCATAGGCTGGGCCCCATGCATCTCAGGTCAGCATTACCTGAGAGTCCAGCCCACCCACAGCCTTGTTCAGCCCTGTCATTGCACAGGTGGGACACTGGGTCCCCGAGTCACATGAGACACGTGGCAGAAATGGAGAAGTGTCAACAGTGCTAGAGCCACCTCCAGTGAGTAGCCCATCTCCCAGAGGCAGTCTTATCAGGGGCCGGGCTCGTCAGCAGGTCCACTTCTCACCAGGGGCAGGAGAGGGTGTTGCAACAAATCCAAATCCGCCTACTCGTGGGGAGTCCTGGGGGATTAGCTCCTTGCCATCAGGGCCCACCTTGCCCTGTTTGTGCTGGAACAAGAGAGACTAGTGTTAGGGGGGCCCAAGCCCACTCTCTCCAGCTAACTGATGCACAAATGCACAGGAACATGCTGGAAACGCCTCCCCTCCCCGGGGCAGACCCAGAGCTCTATGGGTGGTATCCCCCTTGGAGAAAGAGAAGAAGACTTTCTCAGAGCAGGGAGCAGCAAGGGAAGCTCCCCTCCCTCCGTGCAGGGCAGCGCCGGAGCCCTGGGCGTCAGGCTATATCCCCACACAAGCTGCCCTCAGCAGCTCCTGACTTAGGCCCTGCTCTGACCTCTTCCCCACAAGGCACTGGCAGAAGCCTCCAGGACAGTCTCCCCATCTCCTGCCTCACTTCAACCCTATGACCACTGGAGGCACCACTGCACCATGACTCCCAGACTCAGACACCCTGCTGTGTGCCCCACCAAACTTCACCCCACCCTACCCTGCGCACCCCATCTATCTATCTATCCCTGTCCTACCTGGTGCATGGGTGTGGGTCTAGCCAGCCTAGGCTGGCTCCCAGCAGCCTCCCTTCTCTCATGTTCTTGTCGCCAGGGAGCTGGCACAGAACTGACCCACAGAACGTCTCTGGCCAAGATAGTACCCCAGTGGTAACCCATACAAATCGAGAAAAGGCTCAGGCCCCTGCTGCAGAGGAGCCCCACGTACTCACAGGCTGCTAGGTTCCACCTAACCCAAGAACAGTACTAATTTAAGAAAGGAAACCAAGATTGGGGAGATGGTGGTTGCCCACAGCCAGCCCCGGCCACTCACCTGGGCGTTGAGAGCGGCAGCCTGCTGCAGCTGGGATCTGCTCAGGGCCTGGCTGAAGGGATCCCTGAGGAAGCGAGTATTCTTATGCACCACCTGCCTCGGCTTCTTAAACAGCTGTTCCTCATCAGGGACACCTGGCGGATGCAGGAGAGATGGCAGCAGTGTCAGAACGGTGGGTAGGCCCCACCGCTGCCCCACACTCAAGGCTCAGGGGAGAGAGAGAGGCCAAGTCATTCCCCGGTGACCAGAAGTATGAAGCCGGGCAAAGCGCTTACATCACCCTCTGCCTGGAGGCAGACCAGGACCCCTCCAAGTCCCATACACCGGGGAGCACAGATACATCCTCAAGGCCTGACCCAACACGAGGTCCCACCTGCTGCCGCCTGCCCGCCCGCCCTCCCTGCTCACCCTCTGGGTAGTACATGAGGGAATTTTTGGCCTTGTACTTCCAGGTCTCCACGCCAGCCTGGCTGCTCTCGATGGCTTGGTGCTCTGCCGACGGAAGTGCAAGATTATCTTTCTGCCTCTGTGACACAGGGGGAAAGTGAGGGTCAGAGAGGCCCTAGGCACTGTGCCCCTGGTCCCAGGACTCCCTCCACCCCGACAGAGGATTCCTGTGCCCCTGCACCCAAGGACACCTTCTCAAACTCCTCCTCGGCCTGGTAGAGCCACGTGTGGCGTGCCCGGCTCTTCTCCTTCGCCACCTCCATAATCTCCTGGAAGGAGGCGTTGTCCTCACTTGTGTACCGGCTCAGGAAGACATCCAGGCTGGGCAGAGGCTCCTTCTCCTCCTCCTCTCCAGCCTCTCCTGCTCAGGGGCATAGGTGGGGTGACACAGAACCACAAACAGCATAAATGCTTTGTAGTCACTCAATCCCAGGACCCGTAAGTAAGGTGGGAACCCTCATCCTCATTGTGGGTCTTCTGGTGAGAACCCACACTGCCAGACCACTCCCCTGGGGATCACCCCCCTAATTGCCCAGGGAGCGCTCAGAGGCTCTCCTCAGCTGCTGGATGTCAAGTGAAACATACGTCTGACTCACACAGGCCAAGACATATCCAGGGGTCAGAGAAAAGGTGGGTGATCACAGCAAGCCTTGCCCTGCCCAAACTGCACCAGTCCTATAGGGCCTGCCTCTAAAGCTCCAAGCTTTCCCTCCATCCTTACCCTGCCTGCTCCTCTCTTCCCGGTACCTGTGCTACATGTGGGTGGATGTCACCTAAGCCTCCTAACCTGCTAGCAGGCCCTGAGGGCAGGACCCTGTAGGATCCAGTGGTCCAGATGGGGCCTCATAGGCACTGGGCCACAACCCCAGCCGCCCCACCCACCACCATAGGAAGGGGAACCCCCAGTGAGGTGGTGCCATTGCACTGTGTACAGTGGTGCGCACTTCAGAGGGGACCGTCAAGAGGAATGTCTTGTCTTCCATTCCACTGACAGTCTTCACCACCTACTACTTGCTACACTGTACCAAGCACAGTGGCTAAAAGTTCCAAGATCCAGGGTTGGAAAGATGAGAACTCAAACCCCATTGTATCACCAAATAGGTCTGAAACCTGCAGAAGCTACTCCTTCCTGATCCTTAGCTTCCTCACCTGTGAACGTGAACAATGATGGTACCCACCACCTAGCTTATTAATATGGTTATTATCTATATCTTATTAGATCCGTTGACAAGGTGTATTTTTTTAAAAAAATAAAGATTCTGAGGGGCGCCTGGGTGGCTCAGTCGGTTCAGCATCTTTCTGATTCTTGGTTTGAGCTCAGGTCATGATCTCAGGGTCGTGGGGTCAAGCCCCACGTTGGGGTCCCCACTCACCACAGAGTCTGCTGGAAATTCTCTCATTCTCATTGCCCACCCCATCATTCACACACATGCTCACTCACTCTCTCAAAGAAATAAATAAGTAGAATCCCAATAAATAAGTAGATAAGAATCTGTAAATCGCCTGTGACTCATCTGCCATGTGCAGTAGAAAATCAAGCTCCAAGGACACGATGGACTAGGATAATTCCACAAAAAGCTGGATTTTGAAAGGGAAAATATCTCATCTATGTAAGCACACAGAGCATCTACAGCACGCTCAAGACTAGAACCTAGCAGAGAACAGGAACCATCTTGTCTGCCTGGGCCCTGGTCTTCTGACAAAATCGTCCACTGATCCTGAGAAAGTCACGTGGCAGTGCACACTTGTGTCCAACAGGGCTCAAAATGCTCTCTCCTAGAAAGACTCCCTCATAAAAAGTTGGAACATGTCATGATCCCCCAACACACGTATTGGAGAACACAACTTATTTGTTCTACTCCCACAACATGCCATGTGCTGTCCTAGGTGCAGGATACATACACAGAAGCAAGACAGAGAAGCTCCTGTAGAGAGGAAAAGCAACAAACAGAAAAAAAATGCCTTTTTAAGTGCCATGTCCTACAGCAAGAAAACAAAAGCCAGGCAGGAAGGCATGCTGGGGGGTGTCAGGAAAGGGTTCCGTAAACGGTAACATCTGAGCAGAGGCTTGAGGGGAAAGATGAGGAGAGCCGTGCAGTTACCCAGGGGAAGTGACTGACTGAGAAGAAACAAGTGCAGAGACCCTGAGGCATTCTAAGACAGCAGCAGGAAAGGGGTCCTTCGAGGCCCACAAAGCACACTGGGTAGGTGCTGGCACACCGTGAGCAGGCTGGGGAGAGAGGTCGCAAGATCTCCATTCCACAGAGGAGGGCCAGAGGCTCGGAAAACCGCCCACGTCTGCCTCCCAGACCAATGCTCTTTAACCCCATGGCTTGCGATTTACGCAGAGAGCCCTCAGGGATGCACAGGATGAGACTTGCAAGCAAACCCCAGGGCTCACTCACCATCGCCATCCTCCAGGCCCCGGCCTCGGCCCCGAGGCTTGTTGCCCACCACTCCGGTGCCTGTGTGCACATCAGGGGTTTCAAATGTGGCTGGAGTCACATCTGGAAGGAGGGAGGGGGTAGGGATTAGAGCCAGCCTAAGGCAGCAGTTCAGCAGGAGCTCTCCTCACTGCCAACCACTGTCGCTCTTACAGGGCGGTGGGGGCTCCCGGGACATCTTGCCCAGGGCAGAGCCAAACTTGATGGCAATCTGCCGCATCCGTTCCAGGTCTCCATTCTCCTCAGCCTCCAGGTACTCCTTCTGAGCCTGCAACTTCTCCACGTCAGGAAAGAAGTCCCTTTGGATGACTGTCTGGAGACCCTGTCAGAAGTCAGAACAAAAGTCAGAGGTCACATTTGCCTCTCCTCTGCCCCTCAGTCTAGCAACATACATGCTAAGGTCCTTGCTGATGCCCACAACCTCTAACCAGCCCAGTGATCCCCTGAGCTCAGCTGCACTTTCTAACGAGGATGAGCATCCCCTGTAATCTTGCGGCAACATCTGACATTACTCCACGCTCATCTGATTTCCATGAAACCTTTCTCCCCTCACTAACTGGTCACTCTCATGCTCCTTTGCTAGCTCCACCTTCACACCAGCTGGGTCAAGGTGGGTGTTGCCCCTGCATTCCACCCAAGACCTCTTAGTTCCAATGGGATCCCTTTATCTGGATGATTTCAGCCTGTCACCCCCACCAACAGGACGGGGTTGAGATTCCCCAATCTGTACTTCCAGACAGACCTGATCCTAAGCTGCTCATCTATGTACCCTTCTATCCACTAATGCCAGCTGCCTATCCCAGAGGCCTCCCAAACTTAACCAATCCAAAGCCAAACTGATTTCCTCCAATCTCCCTGCCAGCTCCTTTCCCTGCATATTTGCTGTAGTATTAAAACCTACTTCAAGGATCCTTGGATGCCCACTAACTCAGCGATGCTGATGCAATCAGAGGCTGTCTCCAAGACCTCCAGCCTCCGCATCTGCTGTTACAACTCTGTAGAAAGTCTTCTTTGCCACCATCCTTCCACACGCCTCTTCATGCTTTAATAAGACACCTTGTTTCCCCGACCGCCCCGCCCCCCCAACACACACAAAGCCGCCCCCTCTCTCCCCTAATACTGCCGGTGCCTCTCCCCATCAAGGACACCTCTCTCTACACTGTATTTACTTGGCGCTCCGGCTGTCCACACCCCAAGAGCACAGACTCGGGTTGCCCCACCTCCGCAAGGGTACGAGTCCGCCACGACCCGAGAGCAGGGACCCGACAGGAGCGCGAGGCAGGGAAGGGACCTCGAATTCGCTAGCGTCGCATCAAGTTCTTACCTCGATGTACTCTTCTTCGTCCAGGACCCGTTGCTTGCTCGCCGCAGCCCGGGCCTCCCCTACCGCCCGCTTCCTCCGGGGCCCGGACGAGGGAGGGAGCAATAGGGCCCGGGTTGACGCTCCCGGCGTCTCCATCGCTATCCCAGGACCGCTCTGGCGGCGCAGGTACGGAAAAGGGTCGGGAGACGGTGGGGGCGGGACTGTGCTAAGTGCGCAGGCGCCTACCACAGTCCACCAATGGGAGAGCCGCGCGTTTCGAGGCCGGCCCGCGCTCCTTAGTGACGTCACCAAAAGGCCTTGTGGGAATTGAAGTCTTCCAGCAGCCCCACTCTGGTCCTGCGACTCTGAACTACGGGCACCAGGGGGCGCTGTGGTGGGAGAGACTAAGGGATGTGTCCTTCACTCTAATAGCGAACATTTTCAGCGCTGCGAAATTGAAACGCCTTGAATTCCAGTTTCTCGCAAGTCATCATTGCGCATGCTCCTGCGTTATTAACAAAAACACATTTTGTCTATAGATGGGTTTGAAAGTTTTTATTTAAACTCTATACAAGAAGAGAACCCGAGGACCATTTCTTCTGGATCGTTATCTAACAAAAGAAAAAAATTCCGATGGTCTGGTAAAGAAATGTCTGGTTAAACATTATTCAGTCCCGGGACGCCCAGGTGGCTCAGCGGTTGTGTCTGCCGTTGGCTCAGGGCATGATCCCGGGGTCCGGGGATCGGGTTCAAATCGGGTTCCCTGAGGAGCCTGCTTCTCCCTCTGCCTGTGTCTCTGCCTCTCTGTGTGTGTTTCTCATGAATAAACAAATAAAATCTTAAAAAAAAAAAAATTCAGTCCCTTTCGGCGACTATACGGCTGGAAAGATTGTGGCTGGGCCAAGGACGTCAGGTCTCCCTGTCCTCCTCCTTTCTAACCTTTCCCCAAAGCCCCTCAATAAAATGGTTTGATAAAAAAATAAAAAAAATTGAATAAAATTTAAATAAATAAATAAATAAAATTCGGTCCCTGAACACCACAGTGGGCTTTCCAGAAGAAGGCTAACTTAACTCTCTTTGAAATGGACCAGAAAATTGCCCAACCACTTTTCAGGAATGATCATGTCTTCCCTAAAGGAGGTTGTGAATGATGCCAAACAGGTAAGTTCTGCCCCAGAACAAATTCGTATTATAGGCAGTCATTCCTTTATTCCGTGGGGAGCTCCATGGTGACGGCTCCTGCCCTGTGGAGCTGACAGTCGAATGGGGAAGACAGACACTAAGCAGATCATCCCACAAACAGGCATAAAGCTCAGGGGACAGAGGGTGCAAAGAAAGAGTTTGTACTTGGGGAATCCTCCTCTACAGGGCAGGCAGGGGATGTTTCCTTGGGGAGCTGCCGAGCCGGAGAATGAACAGACGTTGATCATGTGGAGGGCAAGAGCAGGTGCAAAGTTCTCGCAGCAAGAGGGAGAAAACCTTTGGATACACGGAGTGCAAGGAGCGGTGAGGTGTGAGATGACACCACAGGGGCAGGGGCCGGCTGCGGGGCCTCGTGGGTCTCGGTGAGTTTTGTCTTTAGGAACAACGGGAAGCCCTTGGAATGCTGTAGGCTGGGGAGAGGCGGGTTCACATGTGCACCCTGGCCCGGACAGAAAAGGAATTACAGAGGAACCAGAACGGCTGCAGGTGGACAAGCTGCAATGGGCAAGGTGACGGATGATGGCATTTCCATCAGGTTGCTACCATTGAACCTGGGGAGAAGAGAGCTTCTGGGATTGTTTTGGGGAGTAAAATTGATTTGCTATAGGTTAACTAACTTGAATTTTTAAAAAAGATTTTATTTATTTATTCATGAGAGACACACAGAGAGAGGCAGAGACACAGGCAGAGGGAGAAGCAGGCTCCATGCAGGAAGCCCGACGCGGGACTCGATCCCAGGTCTCCAGGATCACACCCTGGGCTGAAGGTGGCACTAAACCGCTGAGCCACTTGGGCTGCCCACTAACTTGAATTTATATAAAATGAAAAAAAGTATTGGTTTGCTGCTGGCCTGGGTGTGGTGGGTGAGGGGGCGAAGGGTGCGGGTGATTGATTGCCAGCTCTCTGGCTCATGCACCTGGTTTGCAAAAGGAAAGTTTGCCGCAGACAAGGTGGTTTTGAGGCGCTGCAGGCTTCCAGGTGGAGTAGTCAAGGGAACAGTGGGACATAAATATCCAGCTCAGGGAAGAAGTCTGAGCTGGAGATGTAAATGTGGCAGAGATACAGGAGTTGGAGACTGAGGTGGAAGTGATGAAGCAAGGAGAGAATGGAGCGGAGGGGCCCATGCCTGGGACCCAGCCTGCAGGATGCCCACGTTAATGGGCAGCTTGTAGGGGGTGAGCCTGCCAAGGAGCAGCTAGAGAGAAAGGAGAGAAACGAGGACAGTACAGCCACTGGTCCTTCGCAGGCAGGGCTCTGATCACGGCTGTGCAATGACGAAGAGCCAACCGGGGGGCCAGGGTCCCAGGGCCCAGCCAGATGAGGGCATCCCAGCCTGAGGGAAGCGCTGCTGGCGCGCTGTGCAGTATGCGAGGATAAGGCCAGCATTCAGGGGGAGAGCCTGTGACAGCCAGAAGTGTGCAGCCTGAGGGGTGGAGGTGAGTGCTGTTGTCCTGGAGGCTCCCAGCAGTTAGAGACAGCTTGGGTGCTCAGTGTTCTCTGAGCCGGCCAGCCTTGGAGAGTCCTGGGAGTGCTAGCCCTGGCTTCTAAACCTTTAATGAGTGGACTGCGTCTGCTTTCAGATACCCCTGGCCCATTTCCTCCAGGACCTGTAAGGAGGCAGAGCATGGTCCCCAAGCCAGCTCATGGTGCCAGGTGCCCTGAGCCCACCAGAGGGGCCTTCGGGGGGAACCAAAGCCTTGTTTTCGGACCTTCCTTCACCCTGGGGTCAGGATGATGGAGAGGAAAACGGACACTTTCCAAGGCAGTGGCAGAGGCATGTGGTGCATCCTCCCCAGTCAGACTTCCTCTGGCCCCAACAGGAAGGCGGAGAGGGAGGCAGACACACGGCCTGGAAACCCGCCAGAAGGAGGAAGCCAAGGATCTCCACCCATGAGCAGTACCTGGAGGCCAGTGCAGCCCCCCGGGGGTGCTAGGCCATGATCTGTGGGGTGGTCTGCTGTGCTGGGGAGCACAGGGACTGAGGACTCTCTGGGCTGCGCTCCCCAAGGTAAGGTGGCCCTCACTCCTTGGATGTGGGAGTGGAGCCACGGCGGACTTTAAACTCTGGACTGCTTTTGTGCGGTTTGCAGTTGCTTTTTTATTTCCCAGGATGCAGGCAAGGCTCACAGAATTAAGGAGCGGGGCAGGGAGATGACCTCACCCAACGCTCTTATCCCACAGCTCTGGACACCAAGGCCTGGTGCAGGACGCGCAAGCCGACCGCCCCAGAAAGCTCGAAACCTCCAGAGGCGGGGTCGAGGGAGCGGTGTGCATGCGGGGGAGGGGAGGGAGAGGAGGCTTCCGGGCCCCCTGCCCAGGGGTGGTTCCTGTCCTGGGGGCGGGGGGGGGGGGGGAGTTGAAGCGGACCCAGCCCACCGACCCTAGTCACGGGGAGGAGAGCACGTGGGGCTCCCTCCTTTCACGGGGCAGGGCCGGGGCGGGGAGGGGGGTCCCACGGCCGCCTCCTGCCCGAGCACTAGCTCCAGGCTGCGGGAGCGCTGCGGACAGGCGGGCGGAGCCCCGCGGCGGCTCTCAGCTCTGTTTCGGGCGGACCCGTGTCCTCCCCGAGCGGGCCCCGGGGACGCGGCCAAGCCCACGAGCGGCTTCCAGGCCGTCAGCAGCTCTCCTTCGGGGACTTCTTGGCCCCGGGGAGGAGCCTCGAGGTGGCCGACGTGCGCTTCTGGTGTCGCCACTTGGCCCGGCGGTTCTTGAACCAGACCTGAGGAGCAGGACGGGCGACTCAGGCCCAGCCCGGGCCCCGGGCCCCGCCCCCACCCCGACCCCCACCCCGACCCCGACCCGGACCCCGACCCGCGCGGGGGCGCCTCCCGAGGGGCGTGGCGGCGGGGGCTGCGCTGGCTGCGCGGGCTGCGGGTCCCCCCCCTCCGCGGCCCCGCAGCTCGCTGCTCCTCCCGGCTTCCTCCACGAGCCGCAGGAGCCCATGTATCCGCGAAAGTAAGAAAGTTTAAACCGAAGGAAAACCAGCCTTACCTGCCGTCCAGGTCCAGCGCCCCCTTCCCGCGCCCCCGCCCCCGCCGTCTATCCGAGGAGTGGGGGGAGGGGAGGGAGGCGCGCGGGCCTGTCGCGCCCGTCCGCCCGTCCGTCCGCCCGTCCGTCCGTCGGTCCGCGGGCACCCACCTCCACGCGCTCCTCGCGCAGGCGGATGCGGCCGGCCAGGCGCTCGCGGGTGCCCACGTCGGGGTACTGGTTCTGCACGAAGAGCGCCTCCAGCGCCTGCAGCTGCTCCTCGCTGAAGATGGTGCGGTGGCGCCGCGTGCGCCTCTGCGGGCCCGGACCGCCCGCGCCCGGCAGCGCCCCCGAGCCTCCCGCCGCCGCCGCCAAGGGCGAGGGCGCCGCGGGGCCCAGCCTCAGCGGCCACGGCAGCCGCGCGCCTGCGGGGGAGGGCGCAGTGAGGCCCGGCCCCGCCCGCCCGCCCGCCCGCAGCCGCCCCGCGCCCGCCCGCCCCGCGCCCACTCACCCAGCGCGGCGGCCGCCTCCGGGGGTCCCCGGGGCGCCGCGCGGGGTCCGCAGCAGCAGCAGCAGCCGCAGGGCGCGGCCTCGGGCGCCCCGGGCTCCCCGGGCTCCGCGGGGCTCTGGCGGCCGGCGGGCGGCGGCGCGCGGGCGGCCGCGGCGCTGCGCTCGGGCGGGCTGGACAGGATGTGGTCGATGGAGAAGGGGCAGGGCCGCCCGGGGCCCCCGCGGCCCGCCGCGCCCCCCGCCGCCGCCATGCCCGCCGCCGCCGCCGCCGCCGCCGCCGCGGGGATATATACGTCGGGGGGAGCGCGCGGTAATCCCCGGGCCGAGCGCCGAGTCCACGCGGGCTAATCCCGCCGCGCCGGCCCGGGCCGCGCTAATCCCCGACCGCGGCGGCGGGGGATCCTGCTCCGCATCGGCGCGCGGGGGCCGCGGGGAGGGGCCGCGGGGAGCCCTCCGCCCCCGAGCTGCTGTTCTGTCCCCGAAGCAGAGGGCCGCCTCCCCCTGTCCGCGGGGCCCGGAGGTCCCACCCTGCTCCGGGGCCCGGGGCCACCCCGACCTGGCCGAGCCCCGGGCTACGTCCCGCAGTGGCCCCTCGTCCCCTGGGGGCTCTAAGAGGGCGACGGGCAAGTCTGGAGAAAACCACCCCAACTGCCAACCTCCTGGCCCCTACTCTGGAGGGCTCCTGCCCCCAGGGGGGCCCAACTGCTCTGGCAGCCCGCCGATCGCACCCTCTCTGGCCCCCAACCTCCCACCCACTTCACAGCGGGACCCTCAGCCTCCTGGAGGCAAGGAGGAGCGGGAGCTCTTTGCTCACCACCAAACCTGGATCCCCACGGCCCAGGGCCCCAAGTCTCTACCCTCTCTACTGGGTCACCCAGCCTCCCAGACCCCATTGAAGGCCCCACTCCAGTGCTCTGCAGCCACCCCTCCTCGTGCTTCCTGCGTGTCCCAGAATCCCCTCCAAGAAACCATGAAACACCCCGGCCCCACCCTGTCGGTGGCCCAGCTTCTGGAGAGTGACTTGAGGGCTCGGTGCCCCCCACTCCTCAGGCCACTGCCCACCCCTGGGAGGTCACGCTGCCCAGCATTGCTGACTGCCTGCACTTTGCCAAATTCAGTGAAGGCCGTTCATCCTCAGGTAAGTAGCCCCGAGCAGCCTGTCAGGCGCCCGGGTTAAGACCCTCTTCCCTGGACCCCTGGAAAAGACACGGTTGGTTCACGGGACTGAGCAACAGGCTGCGTGGCTCATATCCCAGCCATCACTTCCTGGCTGCAGGAGCTTCCAGAGGTTCATCCCGGCCCCCTGTGCCTCAGTTTCCCAATATATAGCATAATTATAGCAACCTAACTTCAGAGATGCTGGTGCTGGGACTCAGCAGGTCACCACGTGGGAGACGTCGGAGCCGGGCTGGGCACGCGGGGCTCCATGAGTGGCAGGTGCCCATGTCAGGCGCCGCACTCACATTCCCTCCCTTCTCCTCCCACCTCACAGCCTTGCTCAGACTCCTTTGCTGACTCCGCTCTGGTATCAGTGAGGAGACTTTGGACTTCAGGGGACAGAACCTGCCAACTCAACCCCTGTCACAACAGTTCTAGTAGGGGGAGCCAGGACTTGTCCATCTGAATGCTTAGTGGAGGAACCATGGTGTGGTTCAGCATTCAGATGCACAAGTCCTGGGCCCCCACTACTAGAACTGTTGTGGCAGCCGCCTCATGACTGCGAGGTGGCTGCCGCAGCCCCATACCTCCCATCTCTTCCCATGTGTCCCTCTGGAGGACTCTGGAAACCTCTTCCAACATAGAACCGCGTGCTCACCATGTGATCAGAGAGGCGCACGAGGATTGAATGCCCGTCAAAGCGGGAGATCTGACAGGATGGGGTCAGGAAGACTGTGCCCCCCTCTACCTCCAGGCCTGGCAGTTTCTTCATCCCGCCCCATTCCCACCCTGGGTGACCTCCTGCAGCCTCCAAGCCTCAGACACCATCTCTGTGACAATGATTCCTGGGCTGATACCTCTTGTCTGACCTCTCCCTCTGCGCCGGGCTGGAATCTCCCAAGTGCCTGGATCACCTGTAAACACCTCCAAGCCACCAGGCCTCGGATGGACTGAAGATCCTCTCAAAACTTGTTCCTTGGCACGCCTGGGTGGCTCAGCGGTTGAGCATCTGCCTTTGGCCCAGGGCGTGATCCTGGGGTCCTGGGATCGAGTCCCACATCGGGCTCCCTGCATGGAGCCTGCTTCTCCCTCTGCCTGGGTCTCTGCCTCTCTCTCTGTGTGTCTTTCATGAATGAATAAATAAAATCTTTAAACAAACAAACAAACAAACAAACAAACAATTCCTTGCCTGGTATTCTCTGCCTTGATGAATGGGTCACCTACCTGCTTGTGCACCCGGTAAACGTGCCATCTCTTTACCTGCCCACCTCTGCCCATCTCTTCACCAGCCCACTGTGGTGAGGGGCCCACGCTGGTGCTTTCCAAACCTGTCAGGAGAGTCCTTGACCCTTCTCCCTTCAAGAGGTGATAGTGAATTCCCTTCAGCTTGGACATGGGCTGGCCTCAGGCCTCACTTCTAACCTCTGAAATGGAGCAGAAGTGACATTGATTTTTTTTAAATTAATTTATTTGAGAGAGAGCATGAGGGGCAGAAGGGAGGGGTGGAGGGAGGGGGAGAGAGAGAATCTCAAGCAAGACTTGATCACGAAGCCGATCACGAAGCCCACTGCGCAGGGCTCCATCTCACAACCCTGAGATCATGACCTAAGCCAAAATCAAACATCGGATGCCCAACCCACTGAGCCCCCCAGGCGCCTCCATTGACCCTGAGTTCTGAGGCTGGCTCAGACAGCGAGGTGGCCCAGCTCCTCTCTCTCCCTTATCTTGGGACGTCTGCTCCTTGAGCCAACTACACCTGCAGCCGCGGGAAGGGGCACGCGCAGAGGTGCGTTCCAGCCGCGGCTCAGCTGCAGGGCCACCAACAGGCAGCACGGAGAGTGAGGGAGGAAGCCTTCGGGTGGCTTCTGTCCCAGGTGTCATCAGCCGCAACCACACAGGAGGCCCAAACGACAACGGTGAGAGGTCACGATAGCGGTGACTGTGTGTGTGTTCATAGCGCTGGATTTGAGGTGGCTTGTTACGTAGCTCTGGGTAACCGGACGGTGTAGGGTACCGGAGTGGGATGCTGCCCCTACAGGCCTAAGGCACGCGGCTTTGGATTTGGGACTGGACAGGGAGCGGGAGCCGCAAGGACCCTGCCGAGACTGCCAGCGGGGTCTTATAGGGAAGTGAGAAAAATCTTACGAGAAGACAGAAGAAAGGGGCCCCTTGGTGTGGGGTGGCAAGAAGCTTAGCAACATGGTCAGCTGTAGTGGGACAGGAAATAGGACGTGTCCCCTATGGGTAAGGTGATCCAGCTGCGGAGGTGCCCCGCTTCCTTCAGCTGCCCACAGTGAGAAGGGAGAGCCTGCCTGAAGGAAGGGGGTGCTGGTGCTCAGAAGCCCGCTTACAGGGTGAGCGCGCACCTGCTGCACGAGCACGCAGGGCCACTCCTGGAGCGGCCCTGCAGGAATGAAAGCTTCGGTTCACACAAAATGCTGCCCCTGCGTGTTTAGAGAAGTTCTCTCCACCATCGCCACAGCTTGGAAACAACCCAGATGGCCACCAGCTGGTAAGCAGGCAGACACGCTGTGGTCCCCCACCCAGGGAGGGGCCCAGGGTGCCGGTGACACGTGCGGCAGCACAGAGCCATCTCAGAAGATTGTACCGAGTGGAGGAATGGGTCTCAGAGGTGTCTATACCATGGGAGGCTGTTTATATGTCACTCTGAAAATGGCAACAGGTCTGGGGAACAGAGCAGAGGTTGGGGTGGGGTAGGAGCGGGAGGGAGGGTTTGGGGACCACTTGAGGGAGGTGGAGGGGAAGGGGAAATGCTAAGGGGGAGGCCACCCTCAGCGAGGTCAGGGTGCACAGCCTGTCTCACCAAGTTGGCTCCACCGAGTCGATGCTCCAGAGAATCGGGTCAGCTCCAGGTCACCGCTCATGCAGGGGATGCTTACCCTAGCCCTGCTATGCTCAGTCCCACACCAAGTTCATTGCATTCAGGTCCCCAGGATTCTGGTCGGCCCCAGTTTCTGGACACACACAGGACAGGAGAGCTACTGTGATGGGCTATGGCCTCTATTGCTTACTGTAACCAGGCACCGCCTGTTCCCTCTTCCCCCACCTTTTCTAGATCCTCCTCTCTTAGGAGTGCCTAGCACTTCTGAAGGTCTGGGTGCCTCATCGGATGGTTCGGCTCAGTTGCTCCTCCCCGGGTACCTTGCCCTCCTCAGGCTGTGTGGCTGTATCGGCCCATTCGCAGTGACAACTGGGCAGGGAACACCACAGGACATCCAGGGCACAGGAAGACCAAACATCCCTGTTCCTAGGATCTGGGTGTAGGACCTCTGCCAGTATGGGTACCCCTTTGCTTGGTGGCATGAGGAGCCCTGAGTGACCTAGCATATGTCATAGCTCATGTTTTGTGCCACTCTTACTGTGTTCCTGGTGAAATTACCCCCTTCTGAGACCCAGAACCAAAAGTTTCAAGAATGAGGACACACATTCCCCAGTTGGGTCTCTGGGAGTACTGGGGAGCAGGATGTCCCATCTGGGGAGCAGGGTGTCCCTTCTGGACCCCTGGGTCCATCAGTTGGAAAGCCATTACATGTCACACTGGTTTTCCAGGTGCCCCTTCTCCTGACTTCCTTGTCTCAAATTCTGTTCTTGCAATGTCTGCGCCCCCCTGAGGCAACCAGCTCAACTGTTTGCTGTGGCAAACGGGTGTGTGTCTTCCTTTCCTGGACACTTTTCCCTCCATACAACGTGGGCAATACAGCGCTCTGCAGAAGCTCTACTCTTTAGAAGGCTTTCCCCTCACTGCTGTCATTCAGGGCCACCCAAGGTGTAGTGAGAGAGGCCACCTGGGAGTGGCAGTCCCTTGCTTAGGCAGCTTCTCGGAGCTGGTCCTGGCAACGCCACTTCCATTGTACAACGGTACCTAAAGTCTTGGTGGCTCTGACAGTGTCCAGCTCTGATGAGCCATTTTGGTCATGTGGTCACTTAATAGCCCAAGGTCAGATGCCCAGTTCCTGCTGGGGCCCAGTAACATGCCAAGAGCTGTTTTGTGAATGGTGTGTGGCATGGTCTCACTCTAGAACCCTAAGGGCTCTGGTGCAGCTCTCCCATTGGAACCTACCAGAGGCCCCAACTCAACCTCTTTGTCTTGCTGTAGCATTTGCCATGGGCTCGCCAGATCACAGGGCCAGGCGCAGAGCTGCTTGTGCCAAAGTCTACACCTCCTGCAGACCCCTCTGGGCTCCACATAAAGTTGGCATGCTCCATATCACCCAACAAACTGCTCAGGGCAGTATTCCCAAGTGCGGAACATGGGGCCTGGAAACCCAAAGAAGCCTCTCTGCAGTGTATTGTGTCTTAGTGATAGGAGGGGCGGATCATAATTACTTGTCCTGTACTTTGATTTTTTTTTATTTATTTATGATAGTCACAGAGAGAGAGAGAGAGAGAGAGAGAAAGAGAGAGAGAGAGAGGCAGAGACACAGGCAGAGGGAGAAGCAGGCTCCATGCACCGGGAGCCCGATGTGGGATTCGATCCCGGGTCTCCAGGATCGCGCCCTGGGCCAAAGGCAGGCGCCAAACCGCTGCGCCACCCAGAGATCCCTTGTCCTGTACTTTGAAGGAATGTTCTAGCATGGAACGACTAGCATAGGACCACTGGAGTCCTAGAAACTTGTTTTATCTTTTCATTATTGGGTTGTGTTCTTCATATATTTAAGACAGTCCTTATCAGATATATAATTTGCAAAACCTCTCATTCTATGAGTAGTTTTCCACTTTTTAGATGGTGTCCTTTGAAGGACAATTTTTTTTTTAGATTTTATTTATTTATTTATAAGAGACACAAAGAGAAGGCAGAGACATAGGCAGAGGGAGAAGCAGGGATCCCAGAACTCTGGGATCACGCCCTGAGCCAAAGGCAGACGCCCAAATGCTGAACCACCCAGGCGTCCCGAAGCACAAAGTTTTAAAATTTGAATAAATCCCATTTTTTCTTTGATTTTTAAATACTTCTGCTATTGTATCTAAGAAACCATTGCCAAATCCAAGAGCATGAAGATTTACCCTAATGTTTTGCAGTTTTATTTTATTTTTTTTAATTTTTATTTTTTTATGATAGTCACGCACAGAGAGAGAGAGAGAGAGAGAGAGAGAGAGAGGCAGAGACATAGGCAGAGGGAGAAGCAGGCTCCGTGCATCGGGAGCCTGACGTGGGATTCGATCCCAGGCCTCCAGGATCGGACCCCGGGCCAAAGGCAGGCACCAAACCGCTGCGCCACGCAGGGATCCCTGTTTTGCAGTTTTATAAACTACACATTTTATAGTTACATTGATCCATTTTGAGTGAAGATTTTTTAAGATTTTATTTTTTAATCTCTACCCCTAACATGGGGCCTGAGATCAAGAGTCGTAAGCTCTGCCAACTGAGCCAGGCAAGCACCCCTTGAGTGAATTTTTATATATGACATGAGGTAAATGTCAGCTTCGTTCTTTTGCAGGTGGATACCTAGGTGCCCTGGCACCATGTATTGAAAAGATTATTCTTTTGCCCGTTGCATTGTTTTTGCCCCCTGGTTGCAAACAAATTGACCAAAGGGTGAGGACTTATTCCTGGATTCTGAATTCTCCATGGACCTATATATCTGTCCTATGGCAATACCATACTGTCTTGGTAACTGTAACTTTGCAGTTAGTTTTGAGATTGGGAAGTGTGAGCTCTCTAATGTGGTTCTTTTTCAACATTGGTTTGGTTATTCTGGTTCCCATGAATTTCCATGTGAATTTTAGAACCAGATTTGTTAATTTCTACAAATAGGTTGGGAAGAATTTTGACAGGCATTGTGTTGAAGCTGTAGATCAATTTGGGGATTTTAACAACATTAGATCAACATTGTTAAGATCATCTTAACAACATTAATCCTTCCAATCCATGAACATTGGAAATCTCAATTTATTTAGATCTTCTTTTTTTTTAAGTTTTTTTGGAGATTTTATTTATTTATTCATTCATGAGAGACACAGAGAGGCAGAGACAGAAGCAGTCTCCATGCAGGGAGCCCAATGTAGGATTCGATCCCGGGACTCCAGGATCATGCCCTGGGCTGAAAGCAGGTGCTCAACCGCTTGAGCCACCCAGGCATCCCTATTTAGATCTTCTTTAACTTATTTCAGTAATGCTTTATAATTTTCAGAGTAT